ACCTCTTACCCTTTTCTATCTTACCTCCATGTGAACTTCCTCCGCCTTGCAGTAATACTTAAACATTAACTGAGCAATGCAGGGAGACCAACTCCTCATCTGGTGCACAGGGCACTTAGCTGGGATCGCAGAGCACTGGACGTGGGCTGCTGTCCTGTCTGAGTGACTGAGTACTTGCTAAGGGGGAACAGCTCTGACAGAGGAAGGAGCAGAAACTTTCCGAGTCAGAGCGGCCTCTCTCCGAACTCCAGCAGAGCGGGGACCTGGGATCATGCCTTCCAGTGACCACGGCCATTCCCTCAGATACCGAGCTGCTGGATACCACAGCACCGTGGACTTTCCCCACTCCTCCCCTCTAGCACAGAAAGGAAGAGCTTGGCACGGGCTCTTTGCCTCAGGAGGAGGTTTATGTCCTGGAGGAGCCCCCTCTCCAGCCAGGCACCAATTGCTGGCACGATGACCCAGTGCACAACTGGGGCTCCCTGCCCCTGCCCTCAGGTGGCAGACGAAGGACTTGCTTTGGCCTCCACAGCGTCACCCAGCTCTTCAGAGACCAGCACTGCAACCATCTGTGGGGCTGGACCAAAGACACGTGGGAGGGAAGTTTTTTGGTGGCTGCCTTTCCAAACTGCTTGTGTGTAGCTCGGGGCAGTGCTGGGGGCCGGCAGCGCAGGCGGACGCTGTGCTTAATGCATTCCCACCGACCCTGACTAAACCGAGCGTGTCACTGCTCTCGTCTTCACATGCATTCAGGGAGATAATTCTCATTAATCTAGTGTGAATTTATTAGCCAATAATTCAGCTGACTCTTCCCTCAGGTTGAGGCATTTACAGCCAGCATTCCCAGGCTGTCCGCCCTCGCTCGATGCCGGATGATGAACTATGCACCACAAATACCCGGCATTGGAAGCTGCCTTGCCACCAGCCTGGCCCTTTGGTCTGTGCCTGCCTCCTCCCTGCTCCTCCAGCCACCAGCCTGGGGGCTCGGCGAGGCGAGGAACGACAGCACAGTGCAGAAGCACGGCTGCCCACGGCGGGGAATGGTTGTTCCTGCTCGGATCCACGCTGCCAGGACTGCGAGACATGCAAGCTACCAGAAGCAGCTGACACCTACTATGGGGCCGTCGGTGCCACAGCGTGCACAGCAACAGCGTGCACAGCCTGGCAGAGCTGCCTTCCCAACACGTCCCTCCAGAAACGGGAGTCCCGTCCTGCTCACCGCTTCTGCCCTACGCAGCTCTAAATCTTCATTTTTGGCTTAAAGTAACCCACAAACACCTTCCTGGGGTGCTTTCACACTGCGACACGCGCACTTGCTTAGTGTTTGTGTTTTTAAAACTGGGGGAATAAAAACAACTGAGCAAACACTGAACTTAATCTTGAGGATCTGCGCCTACCTTACTCGGCTGGCAGGGCTTCCAGTCAGCACAGTCATGTTTCCCCAAGGCCTGGAAGTGAGCCTAGCAGAGCTCTAGCAATTTACACATTTTGTGAACCCTTGAGAACGGGGGTTTCAGATGGAGGCCTGGTTTTGGCAAAAGTGTCCTGCTGGCTCCACTTCCTGCTCTTCAGTCTTATTTTAAAAGGAACTGGCAACGTGACATTGCATGAGCTGGGAAAGGGGGGCTTAAAATGCTAAATTTCAGATTATGCTCCCATAAAACACCAAAAAAAGCTCTCGGCAGGCAGAGGATTGTCAACCGATCATCATCCGTGCAGTCTGTCAAGCTAGCGATAACCTAGAACACAACTAACAAAGCAGCACAGTCAGAACCAAGCTGATACGGGGGCTGGATCCACACCATCGCATCCAGATTGCAGCACGAGGCAGCTGCAGCGCTCATCTCCCCTTTCTACCAGGATCGCTCCTGAGCTTCGCTGTGCCAGATGCTGACCCACGGCCCCACGCCTCTGCTCGCAGCCTGCTGCTGAATCTCCACCAGAGCCAAGAGCCGGGGGAGCTCCGGGGTCTGCCAACTGCCTGATGTCACGAAACCCTTCGTCTGGCTCGGACCTGGTCTTCATGATGGAAAAGTTGGGCGAAAAGCCTGGTTGACAAGGCAGGACTTGAAGCACGACTGCTGGTTTTTGAGTGTCTAACCTCTTCACGAGGGGCACCTGATGTAAGCGTGAATTTCTCTTCAAACCACAAAAACAAATTGTTGAGAAGCGTTTGGGATTCGCCTCCCCAGGCAAGTGAACTCCTGTAGGAGTTCACCAGGAGGGCCTGTTCCTGGCAGCCACAAGCCGGCTGTATTCACACAGTAAGCAGATGTATGTTCCTTAAATTAAGCTTCTCCTGACAGTTTTTCTGCTTCTGCCTTTCAGGATCTTGCTCTTTGCTCCGTGCTCCCTGCCCTGCCCTTCTGACCGAAGGCGGCTTGTTTGCTCTCGCATGCCTCTCCTCATTGCCCCTGGAAACACTCCCTGCACATCCTTCTCTGCTAAGCTTCCTGCTCCCTCCCTTCGTTTCTGAGGCTCGTAATAACGCTGCACATTACCAACCATAACCAAACCTCTGAATCAAGCTGTTCAGAGAAGACCCTGAAATTTCAAGGCAACCTTCTGTCTATCTGCTGCTACTCATTGCTTTCCTGTGTGGCACAGACATCTGTTTTCTCCTGGCCTCTTGCACTGCTTCCAGGGCTCCGGTCTTGTTCACATCTTGAGAATGAGCCTGGGCCTTTTCCTCTGCTCTGGAGGCCCCCAGGGGAACATCTGCAAGGCGTGGTCATGCCCCCTCTTGTGCGGAGAGGACGCTCCTGCAATCCCTGCCACTGCATGCAAATTTCAGCTGAGTGTGCATGTCCCGTGCTCCCACAGCACTGTCCCAGGAGGGACGGGATGGATACTTCAGAGACCAAGGTAAGGTCACTTTGTAGACCTGGGTCTTCTGGAAATTGAACTACACTCAGAGGCTCAAACTCCAAGAAGACAAAGATGGATACTTTTTGTTTCTGAAGTCAGGGGTGCCTTTGAACCAGCAAGTTTAAAGTGTGATTAATAAGATCCAGACCTGCAACCTCTGAGTATCAAGTTTTTGGTCTTCTACCTTCATTTGGTATTTCACGTCTCGCTTTCCATTAGCTCACCAACGTTATTCTCATGAGCTTTTAGGTTCCAATATATTACACTGCACAGAGCAGAGCTTTCTAACCAGCTCAGTGAAGTGTCCACGAGTACAGACAGGTGTTGCCACACACACGCTCATGGGTGCGAACAGAAACAGTGAAGTCGTTTCCTGGGATTGAGAGATTGGGGGACAAGTACTGAAAGCTGAAGACCAGGAAGCCTCCACCAGCGGCTGTGCACGTACTTCAACCAAGGGCTGCAAAGCAGCAAGAAGGCAGTTTGGTTGCCCGATGGAAGCGATTCAAAAGGCTCAGAAATGACAGAAATAACTTGATACAAAAAAGGGAAGAAAACGGTACTGAGGAAGGAGGGAGTATTAGTGCTCCGCAGAAACACCGCTATGAATAACTCTGGCGATCCAATCAAGCCCCACTGTTGCTAAGGAATTGTTCTGCCATCTATAAAGATAATTAGCATTAGCGGTATCATTCAGCATTTCGGTTGGCTCCAATTAACTGCTCGCATTAGGAAGCTCTGAAAGTTTATTACTGCTGCATGTTTGCAGTGTCCTTAATCACACAGGGCTGCCACGGCGGCGCGGCCGTGCGCCCGCCCCGGGCATCTCGTGCTTGGGGCTTGGCCCCCTGCTCTGAGGGGTGCACGGGGAGCCCCAGGGGTACCTGTTGTAACGCTGCTGCTTGCAGCGAGCTGTTAGGGCAGTGCTGTGCATCAGCCTGCACGTCCTCACCCAGAGCCATACCCCGGTTGGATCGGGGTGGGTACCTGAGCACCGGGCAGCAGGTGGAACCGGCACCCGTCCATTGCGTTTGCCACTCGAGAGCCAGATTTTTGGCAAGGCATCGCTTACATCCAGCCCCCAAATGAGCACCGGGGCTCGGGTCCCCGCGCTGATAAACCCAGCAGCCCCCGGCACGGCTCCTGCACCGCCCTGCGGCCCCCTGCCAGCCCCCGCTCCCGTCCGACCGCGGCACAGCCGAGCCCTCGGAGCTCCCTCCCCTCGCAGGCAGCCTCGCTCCGTGCTCCACGCCGACAGACGGGGTCCGGGGAAGGCGCAGACCGGTGCCAAGCACCGCGGTGAGCCCCGCCGGGGGGCTCGTTGCCTCCCCCCTCTGCCTCCCTGCCGTCCACGGGGAGCGGCGGTGGGGCAGCCCGGCTGGGACGCGCGGTGCTGTTTGAACTCAGCCCCTCGCACCGAAGGGCTGAAGCACGCCGAAAAATTTTGATTAAATAAATAAATAATAAGGAAAAAAGCCCACGACCGAGCACGGCCGCGGCAGATAACGCGGCTGCCGCCCCGACACACCCTCCGCGGCACCCGGGGCGCCCGTCCCCGACGGCGGCGGGGGGGAGACGAGCCGGGACGGGGCCGCTCTGCCGGGACAGGACCCTTGGACCCCTCCTGCCTGCCCCCCGGGAGCCGGTGTCCCCGGTGCCCGCCCGCCCCCTCCCGTGTCCCCGGCGGGGGCGTGCCAAGGGCAGCGGCCGGGCGCGGGGCGCTGCGGGAGCGGGGCCGCCCCCCGACGGGGCTTGGCTGCGACCCCCGGGCACCCCATTTCCCCAAATGCCCCGGACCCTCCCCATTTCCCCGCAGCCCCGTTCCCGTCCCCCCGCTGCCGCAGACCGCCCCGGGGGAGGGGAGGGGGTGGGTGTCGGGGTGTCACGCTCCCCCCGCATCCCCCCGTTCTCCCCCGGGGGGGGACCCCTGTCCTCGGTGCTGCCCGGGGAAGGGCCGGCGTGAGACAAACAACACGAAACGAAGGAAACGCAAGGAAGCCGAGGGAAGAAAGGAGCGGGCGGAAAGCGGCGGGCGGGGCGAGGGGGCGGGGCGGGGGGCGGCGCGGCGCTGCCGGCAGGGTTCACCCGAGGACACGCGGCTCCCCGCGGCCGCCCCGCCCGGCGCGGCTGACCTGTGTGCACCCGGTAGTGCGCCTTCAGGTGGGAGGACTTGCCGTACACCTTGCCGCAGCCGCTGTACGGGCACTTGTGCCGCTTCTCGCCCGACGGCTTCCCCTTGCCGCCGCCGGCAGCGGCCGAGGAGGCGGCGGCGGTGCTGGTGGCGGTGCCGGCGGCGCTGGCGCTGTCGGGGGGCGCCCGCGGGGGCGGCCCGGGCGCGGGGCTGCGGGGCGGGCTGGAGCCCGGCTCGGTGGTGGCCGCGTCGCTGTCGGAGCCGGCGTCGTCGTCGGGGCTCTCGAGGCTGTCGCTGCAGACCGAGGGGGCGGGCAGCGGCCGGTACTTGTTCAGCTCCAGCAGGCTCTTGGCGATGGCCAGCAGGGCGCAGTAGTCCTGCCAGGCGTCCCGCGGGTCCCGGGCGCCCGCCTCCCCCTCGCCCGCCGCCTTCAGCCGCGGGGCGGCCCCGCTGCCGCTGCCGCTGCCCCCTCCAGCGCCGCTGCCGGTGCCGCTGCCGCTGCCGCTGCCGGAGCCGGTGCCGGTGCCGGCGGCGGCGGCGCGGTTGGAGATGGACACGAGGCACTGCGCCGCCACGAAGTCCACGTAGGCCACGGCCGACATGCCGCGGCCGCGCCCCGCGGGGGGCCCGGGGCCCTCAGCCGCTGCTCCCGGCGCCGCTCCCCGCCGCTGCCCGCCGTCGGGCGCCGGGGGCGGGGCGTCCTGCGCCGAGCGGGACAGGGCGGCGGGGCGGGGGGCGGGCGGCGGCGGCGGGGAGCGGCAGCGGCAGCGGCACCACCGGCACCGGCAGCGGCAGCGGCACCGGCGGCAGCGGCAGCGGCAGCGGCCCGGCGGGGCCGGCGGGGCCGGGGCTGCGCGGGGGGAGCCGAGAGCAGAGCGAGCTCAGCGCCCGCCTGGCGCCGCCCGCCCCGCGCCCCGCGCGCTCGTGCCGGGGAACGGCCGCGCCGCGTCCCATCACGTCAGGTTCGGAGCCCCCCGCCCGCCCCCCCGATTGGTCAGCGGGCAGGGCCGGACGCCGTGTTTACCTTCTCCCCCCCCTCCCCTCCCCTCCAACCTCCCGCCCCCGCCCCTCCCCGCCCCAGCCGCTCGCTCGCGGGCGCCTTTTGGCAGGGGGCGTGGCCTCCCGCCGGCCCGCCCGCCAATCGCCGCGCCGCCTGCGCCGGGCCGCGTGCGAGCCCGCGCGCCCCGCCGCGCCGCCTTAAAGCGGCGATGCCGCCCCCCCCCCCCCCAAAGCGGCGGCGCCGGGCGGGTGAAAGCGTCCGGCTGGGAGCCCGGCCGTCCCAGCAACCGGGCGGCCAATGGGAAGTGGGCCGGCTGACGTCACTGCGCGGCCCTCCGCCAATCGCAGCGGGGCTGCCGGGCAGCGCGCGCCGCCCGGGGAAGCCGCCCGGCGGCCACGCCCCCCCCGGCCCCCCGTGCGCCCCGTCGGGGCCCGGCGCGGAGCGGGAACGGGGCCGCCCCCACACACAGCGCCCGGGCACGGCCCTGCCGCGGGGATCGCGGCTCCCACAGGGGGCTCCCCGCGTGGTGGCAGCGGGCACGGGCAGGGCTGGGATGGGATGGGGCTGGGGGGGAGCGCTGCGAGGTGGGCACGCCTCGGGCTGGGCGGTGGGACGCCTGGCTTGGTGCTGGTGGTGGTGGTGGTGATGGTGGTGGTGGTGGTGGTGGCAATAGTGGCCGTAGTGGTGGTGGTGATGACGGTGGTGATGGTGATGATAACAGTGATGATGGTGGTGATGGTGGTGATGATCTTGGTGGTGATGGTGGTACTGGTGATGACGGTAACGATGGTGGTTGTGGTGATGACAGCTGTAGTGATGCTGGTGTTGATGGTGGTGGTGGTGGCGATGGTGATGATGGTGATGCTGACAGTGTTGGTGTTGGCGATAGTGGTGGAGGTGATGGTGGTGATGACGGTGGTGATGATGGTGATGATGTTGGTGATAGTGATGATGGTGGTACTGATGATGGTGTTGATGATAGTGAATGGTGGTGATGATGATGGTAGTGGTGGTGACAGTGGCGATGATGGTGATGATAACAGTGATGATGATGGTGGTGATGGTGTTGGTGATGATGATGGTGGTGACGATCGTGGTGACGATGACGGTGGTAGTGATGGTGGTACTGGTGATGACAGTAATGATGCTGGTAGTGGTCATGACAGCCGTAGTGGTGGTGATGGTGACACTCGCGGTGATGGTGGCGATGATGGTTGTGATGGCGATGATGGCACTGGTGATGATGGTGATGATGATGGTGCTGAGGGGGGCCGTGCACGCAGCCCCCCGGGGCGCAGCACACAGCACGTGGCGGGTACACCGCATCCCCTGCCGGCCCCCCTCGCCCCTCCGCCCACCCCAGCCCGCGGCCTCCCGGAGCGGAGCCCCTCGGCTGCCGGCCCCTCGGCTGCCGGCCCCGCTGCGCACTGCGGGCTGCAGGTGTACGTGCGGCGCGGCGGCGGCATCGCCGCTTTAAGGCTCGGCGGCGGGCGGGGGAGGCGGCGCGCCGGGTTCAGCCGAGGACACAGCCCCAGTTCTCAGAAATCCCCGCGCTGCGGGAACATCGCGCTCCGGCACCGCAGCCCCGCCGCCTGCCCTACATCGGGGCCGCCCCCGCCCCCCGGCCCCCGCCCCCCGCCCCCCGCCACCAGCCCCGACGGGGGCCCCGGCCCCGCGCCCCCCAGCCCCAGCCCCGGCCCCGGCCCCGGCGGATTTTGGGGTGCGGGGCTGTGGGTTTGGGGCGTGTGCCGGGCGCGGGGCGTGCACGCGGGACACGCGCGTGTGTGCGTGTGACATGTGGCGGCCGGGGGCGCCCCCGCCAGCGCAGTCCTTTGTCATCGCCCCGCACCCGGGGGGGGGGGGGGGAAGGGGGGGAAGGGGGCAGCTTTTCCGTAAATTTTACGGTTTTTTATTGCACACTTCTGCGAGTCAGTGTTCTATTTATATATACATATATAAATAAATACATTTATGATTTTATTCGTTTCATTTCTTTTTATTTATCTCTTCTTATTGATTTTTTATTTATTTCGTTTTATTATATTTTATTATATTTTATTATATTTTATTATTATTTTATTTATTTTATCTATTTCATTTATTCCATTTTATTTATTTTATTCATTTCATTTCACTTCATTTCATTCTACTTTTGTTTCGTTTTATTCCATTTTATTCTTTTTTTTTTAATTATTATTATATATATTTTTTTAATTTTTTTTTTGCGTGGGGGCGCGCCCAGATCCCGGCACCATGCAGGCAAGCAGGCAGGGACCGCGGTGGGGGTGTGCTCCTGCTCAGCCCCCTCCCCTCCTTCCCCTCCCCCCCCCCCCCTTCCCCACCGCCCCCGGGGGGGAGGGGCGTCCCTTCGGCCCCTCCCCGCCTCACCTCAGATGCCCTCCGCCGCTCCCCCCCTCCCTTCCCCCCCCGTCCCCCCGCCCGCCGCCTCCATCTTACGCCCTCCCCCGCGATGTCACAGGCAGCGCGGCCGCCTCCGCTAACATGTCCGCCCCCGCTCCCGCACGGCTCCGTGTGCGGCTCCGTCTGCGGGTGCCCGCTGGGGGCTGCCCCCCTGGGACCCCCCCCCGGGACCCCCGTGCCCCGGCTCCCCCCCTGCCCGCCCCGTCCCGGCCGCTCCGGGGCCCGCGGGTTCGGTTCCCGCTGCCCCGGCCTCGCCCCAGCCCCAGGGCTGCCGCTGCCCCCCGATGGGGGAGAGCCCCCGCCGCTGGCCCTCCCCAAAACGCCGATTTTCGGGGACGCGGGGCTCTGCTGCAGCTCCCCCGGCAGTGCGGGTCCCCGGGCACCAGCACGGGCTGGGTTTGGTGCTCGCCGGGCGCTGGGCAGGAGCTGCAGGAGCGCTCGTCAATAAATTTACAGCCACGCCGTAATTGCCGCTGCTGCTGGCATCGCGCGGCTCAGCGGCTGAGAGGTTCCCTTTGGAAGTTTAATTCATCCATCCCCGGCGGAAATTCCTGCCAGAGAAAAGAAGGGCCCGGCAAGCAGCTCTGCAGAAGGGGCTCTGGTGGTGCTGCTGGGCACCGGGCTGCAGGTGCAGTGCTGTGTCCAGCTCCGGGCTCCCCGGCACAGGAGGGGTGTGGGCACGCTGCAGAGAGCCCAGCAAAGGGCTGCGGGGGTTCTGCAGAGCCTGGAGCACCTCTCCTGTGAGGAGACGCTGGGAGCTGGGACTGCACGGCCTGGGCAAAAGAGGCTCAGAGGGGTCCGAGTCAGTAGAGATACCTGACGGGAGGGTGTGGGGATGGGAGATGGATCCAGGCCCTTTCTGATAGTGCCCAGTGCCAGGACAAGCGGCAGTGGGCACAAACTGGACCATGAGAGGTTCTGCCTAAACATCACTTTGCTGTGCGGCTGACAGGGCGCTGCCACGGGCTGTGCAGGCTCCCTGCTTGGAGGTCTTGGTCCTGGGCAGCCTGCCTGAGGAGGGCGTTGGAGCAGGTGGCCTCCAGAGGTCGCTTCCAACCCTAACCATTCTGTGCTGCTGGGATCGGGTCGTTGTTGGGTAGGATCGCAGAATGGCTTGGGCTGGAAGGACCCTGAAGGACCATCCAGTTCCAGCCCCCTGCCACGGGCAGGGGCACCTCCCACCAGACCAGGCTGCCCAAAGCCCCATCCAGCCTGGCCTTGAACACCTCCAGGGATGGGGCAGCCACAGCTGCTCTGGACAATGTCACCAACAGGGAAGAGGTTCTTTCATATATCCGATTTAAATCTATTCCCTTTTAGTTTAAAGCCACTGTCACTACAGGCCCTGGTAAAACAAACAAACAAACCCCACACCTTTCTGCAGCTTTCCTGTAGGCCCCCTTTAGATACCAGAAGGCTGCTGTGAAGTCTCCCTGGAGCCTTTTCGTCTCCAGGCTGAACAACCCCAACTCCCTCAGCCTGCCCTCGCAGGAGAGGTGCTCCAGACCTCTGATCATCCTCGTGGCCCTCCTCTGGGCCTGCCTTCACAGGTCCACATCTCTCTTGTGCTGGGGCCTCAGCAGTGTACGGGCCAGTCTGTGCAAGTCTGGAGTTGGTGTCTGGGAACACATGACAGGTAAAGCAAAGGGTCTGAACACATTATTTTTCTTTCATAATTTTGACTACTGCTGAGTAACGTCCTAATACTGATTCCCATGTGTCCACTTGTACTGGTGAAGGGGTCTGGTGGGCCCTGCGGTATTCTACGGCTCACTCCCCTGCTGCTTGGTCAGCTTTCAGGAATGACTTATGACACAGTCTTTCAGATATCAATTCACAATCTTCAAGAGAAATGCAAAATGAATGTGCCTGTGCTTGCACGTATGTCCCACATTATCAGGAATCATCTCTAATCACAAGGGAGAGACTTAAAAGGTTTCTGGTGCCCTAACCCCACCTCTTAGTCCCTTTGTTTTTCTAAAGCAAGATACCCCATTCCAGAAAGTTTTGTCTCAAAAAGATATATTCTAAAAAAAAAAACACATATGCCAGAAGATCCTGTTTTGTGGTCTGGCTGTACCAACACAAGCTTTGTTTGGTAGTAATCAGCTAAGAGCATTGTCTTATCCATTAAGGTTATCTCAACAAACAGTTGCGTTTTCCCCAGAATATGAAAAATGCTATTATAGCCCTAAACTGGAGAAAATATTGGATTGTTAGTTTAGACTGACAAAATGCTTTTCCACATAAGTCACCCTTTTACTTTCATAGTCACACTCCTTTTTTTTTCCTTTTTTTTTTTCTTCCTTATGCCAGTGTTTTACAGTTAACTTTGACTGAGTTCTAATCTCTGTTAGTCAGTTTTACTTTAAAATCAGCCTTACAGACTTGACTGAATTATTCTGAAGCGTGTGGAAAATCAGCATAGGTAATGTTATTTATTCATTTATTTATTTACAGAGTCAAATGAGGTTTTAGGCTCCTAGAGAAGAACACGGACACTTGGATTTTACTCAAATTCGAGTTTGCAAAGGTCTGATGGTTCCTAGTGCCAAGAGAGCTCAAACTCTAACTTCTCTTGATTTTCCCTAATACTCTGCTCTCGTGCATGCCCTTGGA